TAATTGTAATAACTGATATATAACACAACTACCCATACGTATTATTCAATAAAAACTATATATTTGTATTAAATAAATACTACATTGAGTAACGTATAACTTAACAACTAAATTAAAAGGACTTCATTTGGTTAAACAGCGCAACACCCTTTTTGTTTTTTGTGTGCCTCATTTTCTTCTGTTATAAATCTTTATGTTCAAGCACATCTATTGTTAATACCTCAAAGATTCTGTTAATGTCTTCTCGTGTTTTTGTATTGCATTCAATAAAAGGACAGTTGGTACTGTCTGCATAATTTATACCTTCTTCTTTTGTTACTTGTCTGTCATCTTCTAAATCATTTTTATTACATACAATTATTATTGGAATATGTTCATTATATTCTTTCTTTCTAACTTGGTAAATGTCTTCATAAATTTGTTGGAGTACTTCAAACGATTCTTTTGATGTAATAGAATATATCAATACAAATCCATCTCCCTGTTTTATGTATTGATTTCTCAATACAAGGATTGTTCTTTTCATGACCATGTGTATACAGTAAAAAATAGGTGCATTACCTTTTTTAGCTCATTTTACTTTAGTGTACAACAATACAACTTACCTTAGACTAAAGAATATTAAGAAAGTTAGAATTTTGTTTAGTGTTTTTAACTACATTTTCAGAAAAATAGATCTACTAAGCATTAGAATAGGGGCATGTGCTCTGATATTTATTTATTAATAAGTTTAGAGTCAAAACAATATTCTTTGTTTTAACATCTCTTTGAATTGTGTTTAATGTTGACTTTTATTTTCTTTTGTTTCTATGTTTCTGAAAGTTGATTTCTTTTCTAGTTGGCTTCTTTTAACTTTATTTAACTTCAGACTAATCAACTACTTATTTACACTTTTGTTTAAACAGACACAACTTTTTTATAGGTATTCACTTTTTAATTAAATGGTTACAATTATTCATTTTCTTATGTAAAAAGATAAGTATTTTTTTCTGGTATTTAATTAATAAATTTATATTAAAATAAATGTGTTATTCCTGCAATAAGGGAAATTATGGTTTAATGTAATTTAAAGTCATGGTTTTTATGAGTGTTTGAATGAGTTAGTATTGTCAAATAAGAAGATATAGTTTAAGAAATATTCATAACTAAATGTAAGTTTACCAATAAGAAAGAAAGAAATAAAATGAACTGATAATTGTAATAAATTTTTATTAAATAAAGAGAGGATGGAAGTGTGCAAAAGAAAAGTTGAAAATTATGGAAAAGGAAAAATCTTATCATATTGTATCAGTGATGATTACAATAGGATTTATATATTAAACGATGCACGACCACATGAGGTATATGAAATCAGTTGTGAAGATCGAATAGAAGAAGGAACAAAAATCCCGGAATCTGGAAGATTTGATGAGATTAAATCTGGAGCGTTTTCAAGTTGTTGTTTAATATGTAAAATTCAATGTGAGTGTGATTCAAATAATCATCAATTGTGTTGGTATGATAATACACTATATATATTATCAATTATACAAGGGATGATCATTATTGTTAATGGACATATGTCATATAAAATCCAAGTACCTTCTATTGATGGTGCAGGAGAAATAACAATTATTAAGAATGATGTTTTTATTCAAGCACAACCACATGTACTTGTCAAGACAAGCCTTACCAATATTAAAGAAAGTATTATTAATAACAAAGATTTTGAATACACAGAAATTGATTTTAAACATGACATTATTGGACTTCAATTAATTCATTGTAAAAATGCATTTAGAAGAGAGGAAGTATGTAAAATATTAAGAAAGCCATATTATGGAGATAATGTTATTGCAGTTTATGGAAAATATTATCCAATTGTTTATAGATCATTAGAAAGTTTAAATAAAAATGAATTTATTTCAGCTCTTCCAGACACACGAAATATTGAACATTTTTGTACCAATCCATTTAATGAGAAATATGTTTTATTATCTGATTCATTTGGTAGAATTCTTGTTTTTGATTCTATCAATAGATTTATTGTAAAGACTATCCCTGCAATGAGAGAGGCACAGATGTGTTGGATAGATGAGAAGAAATTTATCATTTATTCCAAATTCAGGAATATTTTAGAAATACATAATTGTCAAGAACAAAAAAGAATATCATTTATTGAATTTAATGAACAAGATGTAGTCTCTATTCTTGGTTTTAGAGTTAACAGAGTTGTTATCTGTTTAAATAATAATGTGTATATTCTTTGTTTTTCATAATTGACTTTAACTTAAATGATATGTTTTATTTTATGTATTATTGAATAATCTAATCCATAATACAAATAATTCAATTTAACTTTATAACTACAATTCTTTTAACAATAAATTTCTGCATATCAGTAAAGAACGAGTTTGGAAAAAGAAAGTTCAAAAAGTAGGAATAACTGTTTTTTGTTCCTTCTTTTCCAATAACTAATTTACAACGTCCAGTTCCAATACTTAAAATCATTTGTTCATTATTACAAATAGAAATCATATATTCTTCATTATTAATTGGTTGTAAGCGTTCATAAGTACCAATTGAATTATTTACCCATAAACATTGATTAGATAAATATTTTGAACAACCAAATATCCTTTCTTTTTCATCAACACAAATAATTCCCCATTTATTCTCTTTTCTTAATACTTCTTTTATATTACATTGACTTATCTCAGTGTCATAAATAACTGTTGCTTTACAATTATTCCATTCTTCCATTTTTAAAATTCCTTTTTCTAAATCATTATTGGAATAATTAAAGTTGATTTGTTCTGTTATTTGGTTTGTCGAGACATTAACAAGCTGGTTAATAATACGAACAATTTCTAAAAGAATTTTTCTTATTGAAGGGTCTATAATGAGATTGATGTCAGCGATGAGTTTGTTAAATTGATAAGTGGTACTCATAATTATCTTGGAATGATAAAACAATTTATGTTCACATTTTTCTTTTAAAAAAAATATGAAACAAAACAAAAATAAAAAATATAGAATGAATGAAGTGGAGATATAAATTGTAAAATGGTACAGAAAGCATTTAGAATTCGAATTCAAAGAATGAGTCTTGATATACAGGACTTTGTTTTATGCAAGTATTTAATTCATAGTCAAATGTATTGTCATCATCATCATCAATTATTGATGCGTCATTAGGAAGAGGAGAAAATACACGTTGAGGAAATATTGGTGAAAGTGGAGATTCATTACATTGACTCATAGTTTGTAATGAATTTGGACTTTGTTCATTTGTAGAACTTGTTGATGAATTTAATAAAGAAATATCACATTTGAATATAACAATAGGTTTGATTACTTGCATAATAAAAAGAAGTAAAATAACTAATAGAAAGTTCGTTTAAATATGAGATGCTTTTTCTATTTTCGAGTTATTGGTTTTAGTTTCTTTTTTCTTTAAAATAAAATGATTACAAACTGGAAGTCATTTTCGAACTATCTCATTCTTTTCCCCGATATTTTCCTTTTGGAATATAACACTGTAATTTATCATGGAAGTCTTGTTATTTCAAGTTTTGTATTTTTCTTTGTAACCTTCTTTAACTTAGAAGATTCCACCTTAATAAAAATAGAACACTTATTCAATAAGAATACAAAATTATTTTATTCTTTCAATGTATTCTAACTATAATACATTAATAGTAAATATTATTATTAAATTGATTTGTTATGGAAATAAAGAAATAGTTGATCAAATTTCTTAAATATCACTACTTCTTCTTATTGAATTAAAACAAACTATATAAAACTCAATAAATACATTTAAAACAGTTATAATGACATCATGTATCAATAAGTAGATTATTCATTAATCTATGAATTTGTTTTCGTTGTTTTTTAAACTTCAAAGAATTTAAATAATTTTATTTTTGTTATATAATTATTATGTTATTTAAAAAAAAAGAAAAACATAAAATTAAAAACTCAAAAATCTGATATAAATCACAAACACGAAGAATGAACAAGATAGATGAACGTTTATTTATCACCGATGAAGAGTTACTTGCAGATGCACAAAATATTGGTATTGAATTAAATCAACTATGGGAAACTCTTCCATTTTATCTTGATGAAGATAAACCTTTACATGGTACTAATGTTCCTCATGACTCTGAATTATTTAAACAATTTATCCGTATCCCACAAAACCTTCTTCCTGAAGAATTACAAGGAGATGCAATCAACCATCCACCAAAACGATTCCAAATTCAAACACCTTCAATGTCAAATAAGGTTAATCTTATTGACAAAAAAGAGACAAAGAAATTAATTGCTGAAGAAGATTTAGGAGAAGTATTTGATGAAGATGACGAAGAAGGTGATGATGATTATGATGCAAATAAATTTGAAGATTATGATCAAGAAGATATGAGTGAAGAAAGACATTCAGAAGATTAAGGTAATGAATGTATATTCAATAAATTTGATTGATTGTATTGAAGAAGAATAAAACAAACTAGGTTATTTTTAATATATAAATAATAATATAACAAATAAATAAGTTAACTATGATTTGTTTTTTTTTTGTGAATATTATATAAATGAGAAGAGATAAAAACTATTTGGAAAAGATCATATTTGAAGTAACACTAATATCAATAATAAAATATTTTAATGCTATTGACCAATTATTAAGATTAGATACATCAATAAATGAAATTCTTTGTATAAATTCACAATTTGATATTTTATATGGAAGTTCAAATAATGTAGTTTCCTCTAAAAAAGTTGTTATTTCATTAAATGCAGTTAATATTGTGCGAAGTCCATTTTTAAATTTTGATCTATTTACATTAGTGAAATCTTTGTGGGATACTGACATCTTACCATATCCAAATCCATCAATACACGTCTTTTGTAAGAATATATTTGAATATTGTGAAAGAATTTTGATCATATGCATTAATGTTCCAAATGCAGTTTGGACTGAAATATAATTTTTTGTTTTAATTGATGAAATAATATCAATTCCATCTAATGATACTCCTTCATTCATCCATTCAACTTTAAATAAACTATTCCAAACTGTTTTTGATTGTAATTTATTTAATTTCTTTGATAATTCTGTCCATACTTTTTTCTCTATTTGGTGAATACTAGCACATCCAGTAAATACTGTTTGATTAACTAATTCATAATGTCGATTCAATAATCTAATGAATTGTTCTTCATCTTTTTCAATTAGTTTTGTAACTGCTTGAAGACATTCATTTTCTTGAGTTAATTCTTCTAGTTCTTGTTGAAGAGAATTTACTCTTTCTAACTCTTGTTCAATTTGTTTATTTAAATCTTGTGCTGTTCGAAGTTCATTTAAATTTAATCGTTCAATAACAATCTCTTCTCCTGTTTGATAAAATTCTTCACTTGTTTCTTTATACACTCGTTGCCAACAATCAATACACCAAGGAACATTAATTCCTAATACATGTCTCCACGTTTCCTGCCATTTGACAAAATCTGGTGATTGTGAAATATCAGTAATAATAGGTTTATCGACTTCTTTTTCTTTCCAATATGATGCATGAAGAAATGACGTAGATCGTGTTAGTGCTGGTCGTTCATCTATTCTTCTTGGGTCAGACGGTGGACTTGTTTGGAGTGAACTTACAGATTTATGAAATAAAGTTGTAGGTGACAAAGAACTGTTGAGGAAAGAAGATGAATGATAAGAAGGTGGCGATAAATATGATGAAATTCTGATTGATCTATCATTTTTCTTTGGTGTTGTAATACAGTCTTTTGGAGGTGAAGCAATAGCACTAGTAATAGAAGAGGGAAGGGTATAAATTAATTGTTGATGAAGGCGTATTGGTTGTTGACAAATGGTGCATTTTAAAGGAGCAATCTCCATAATTTCTTTTTCTTTTCTTTAACAGTTCCTTTGATATTGTATTCATTCTTATTTTTTTCTTCCTTTTTCTTTTCTCTTCATTAAACTTTTCCTTCTTTTTTCAATTGATTATTCTATTTGTGTTATATATAGCAATAATTAAACGGAAGTTCTGTTATGAATTTTTTAGGCTATTTTTAGGAAAAATAAAGAATGAATTTTTAATAAATTGAACGAAAGTAATCCTAAAAGTAATTTTTTCTTTGAACACAAAAAGCTCACATTTTAGAAAAGGAAATAAAAAGTATTAAACTGAGTAGCAATAATAAAGTTTTCATGGATTGGTAAGAATAGTAACAACAATACAAAAGAATTTTTAAAAAAACAAAAAACTGTAGTTTAGAGTATTTTCTTTCAAAATATAAAAATTATAAAAAAGAATCATCACATAAAAAACTTTCACTGTTTACATTAAAAAAATTAAGTCTTTTAATAAGAATACCAGACAGCCAATCAATGAAGGGAGAGAATAACTAATTCAAATTCAGCCAATAAATCAAAAAATCAAATTATTTTTAAGAACAACACTAGGATTCTCAACAAACAAAATGAAAGAAATTGAAGGTGAATTTATTCTTAAAACATCTGATAATTTTCTATAAATTTTATTCTTTTTTTAGGATAAATACATAAAACAACATGGCATAATCATATAGTGTTTTTATTATTAATACTATTTCTTGCTTTAAGTTTTGCCAAAATCTCATATTTTCTAATTTAATTTTTTGGATGCGAAGATCTATGAAACTGGCACGTTTAAGTCCTACTACTCCACTTTCTTCTACCAGTTCAATAAATCATATTAATCCACCATCACCACTTACTCTACAACTAACACCAAATTTAACTAGTTCTCTTGAACTTTATCCAATGAACACTTTTTCATGTTCTGGTTCTCCAAACATTTTAAATGAAACACCAACTTCACCACTTACTGTTACTTCATGTCCATTAAATGAATCTCCACGTCTTTTTACTAGACATTCTAGTTCTCATATAGGAAGACTTAAAAGAAGAAGTACCGAACCCATGAGATCAAGTATCTCTTTAGAATTCACAAAAAGGGTTGCAGCTGAATGTGATCAATTATATCCAAAAAACCCAAAAATTAAACAAATTAGTTTAATATCAATTGAACAATATAAGAATTTAATTAACTCTAAATCAAAAAGAGTTATTACTATTGACTCAAGATATCCATATGAATACAACGCAGGTCATATTATTAATTCCATTAATATATGGAGTGATAATGATATTTTTCAACAGTTACAACCATTAGAAGAAATACATAATAATATTAAACCTGTTCTTATTATTTACTGTGAATTTTCTCAAAAAAGAGGACCACTTATTGCAAAAAAAATTAGAGAATTAGATTGGAATCTTATGGTTGAATCTTATAGCTTTAATTGGTTATTCCCTGAGATTTACGTCTTAGAAGGAGGATTTAAAAGTTTTTATAAAAGAAATAATGAATTATGTTTTGGAGAATATATAAAAATGGATGATCCTCGATATGCATATGAACAATCTTGTTATGTAAAATATTTTAGGAAATATTCTATCTCTACTAATCCTTTATTGGATGGGTTTTCTCATCTTTCTCATTCTCAGTGATTGAACATTTTTTATTCAACAATCATTTCAATTACTTTCAAAAAGAAATTCAATAATTTGTATTTCTTTTTTTTTATTTAACTAAAAATCTAAATTATTCATTTTTTAGTTTTTTAAAATTAAAACGTCAAAATTTAATTTTAACTTATTTAATTTTTTTAAAATTTTTAAATTTCTATTAATAGATAAAAAAAAATAAAAAAAAATAGAAAAAGCGAATGAAAACAAAAAATCAAATTGTTTCCTAAAAAAAATAAATAAAATGAAGTGGAAAAACAAAAGTGAATTTAAAAAAAAACCACATGCTATTCTGGTAACATATGGTGAAGAATACAATTGTTCTTTGAAACTAAAGTAGTCTGGGTTTCAAAGAGAAGATCGTTCAAATACTTATTAATAGCCAATCCAGATGATTGGATTGTTGAACGAGTAAAAAGAGTCGTTCCTTTATACAAAATAGAATAAACCGATTCAGTTTTAATAGTACCATTCTTTCCATCAGTAACTTTAGTTGAGAAAGAATATCCAAATTCTCGTAAAATGTCAATGAGCAAATGATTAACTTCGGCAATTCTGTTATTTTCACATCTTCGAGCAGCAGTTTTTGGTGCAACTCCTTGTGAGATATCATACTGCTGAATTTCAGCTAACCTCCTATGAATAAATTCATCAACCGCGACAGTATCACTTCCCCGTCTCAGATAATTAACAGTAATCATCTGTTGAGCAACAACTGATTTCTTCTTTGGTGCAGAAAGAGACAATGAAAAGTGACGATTGATTAACGCAAGAAGAACTGCTTGTTGACTAACTTGATAATTTCGTGTTTGTTTAAAAAAAGTTGAGGTAGGAGGAGGTTTTGCAGTGTGTTGTTCCATCTGAAATTAATTTTTGATATTTTAAAGATAGGTTTTAAATAGACCTTATAAAATCAGACTTTTTTAAGATTTTTAGTTTATATCCCTTCTTTTTAATTCGATGAACAACATCTTCACCTCAACTTTTTTTACTCCTTATATTTTTATATCTTAAGTGACTTTTTCCTATCATTTAGTTTTTTTTCTCATTTGGTTTTCCCGACTTCTTAGTTTTTGTCTCTATTATTCCAAATATTTTTTTTATCACTTCTTCAATTTTACTCTTTTCTTAAATTAATTTAATTTTAGTTTTCTTTTCTTCTCTTTTTGGTTATTAATTTTTAATATACCATTTGTCTGTTCCAATCTTAATTTATTTGTTTTATCTGGAAGTGTTCTTATTCTTACTCTTATACATTAAATAATTTCGTTTTAGTGTTAGTTTCATGAGAAGGAGTTAATTCGTACCATCACCTCTCATTTTTTTATTTCTTTTTATTGAATTATTTTATTATCAACGTTGTCCAAAGGTAAATAAATGACTCAGTACAATAACAAGGCGTACTTGATTTGTGGTGAAATATAACCAACGATATGACTAAGAGAAAAAAAGATAAACAAATGACTACACAACAAAAATAATAATGGTACAATAGAGGGTATAAAAATATTGAATTTAACTCACTAAACAGTGACTATAAACAAAAAGTTGGAAGTGAATAATATTTAATTCTTTTAAAAACAGATTTAAGTAGTTAAAAATACTTTGTGAAATTTTTTAATTCAAATTAAATTTTATTGTTTCTTGTTTTATTTTTTTTTTTGCTACTCTTATTTCTTTTTTTGTTTTATGTTAATTTGATTAGAATAATACTTATTTTATATAACAATTTATTATAAACAATTAAAAATAGTTTTGCTCATTTGAATTGAGACCAAATTTATTAAAACTATACTCTAAATATAAAGAATATTTCTCTTATTATTAATCTGATTATAATTAGTTGAAATATAAAATACAATTCATTAAATATTCACATATTCTTTGTTCAACTTTATTGTTAACAATGGAGTAATTTCTATATAATGATTATTAAGTGAATATATCATTTTTATTCTTCTTTATTTTTTTGTTAAAGTGTAGTTATTAATACTTGAATTTAGTACTATTGTTTCATTAAATAAAATATAACATTATTTTATTTACTGCTATCCTTTGTATTATTATTCATCTTATTTAAACATTTAATAAATCAAATTCAAAAAAATAAAATAGTTATAAGTAAAGAATTAACAATTTAATAATAATAAATTCATATATTATTCTCGTCACAGTCTATTAATATACAATTAATAATAATATGATAATCACAAGAAATTAATATGAAATAAAAATAATTTAATTAATTATCATTTCTTTTTTATCATTCTATTTTTATAAACTAAAAATAAATATAGAATAAATCAAAAAATATACTTTTTCATAAATATTATTGAATTATTAAATAAACACTTAAATTGAATTATTTAATGAAACATTGATATGGATGAGTTAAAAATGATGTAAATAGGAATTGTTGAATTATTTAGAAAAAAAGATTATTTGATAGGAAATTAATATAAAAACTTTTTGAGTTAAGAGTCATAAATTGATCCATTACAACAACAATTATAAATAAAAGAAATTAATATAAAAATGTATTAAAAAGATAGAAAACACAATAAATTATATTTAAAACTACAAAAAGTATTAAGAACATAACAATTTAATGAAAATAATACTATTTGAACATGAATAGTAATACATAATAGGCATTGAGTTAATGATGCTATTAAAATAAATAATAACAAATATCAAAAAACTATGGAACCTTTTTAATAAAAGGTATACTGAGTTGATTTTATTGAAAAATTATACAAAAAAAATTAAGACTCAAATAATATAAATTTCATTTATATAATGAAAACTAATGATGGTCTTAACATTTATTCATCATAACACCTTCATTAAATCTCACTACTTACAACTAAGTTATATTATTATTATTGTTTAGATTATATATTTAGATTAAACTAATGATAAATATGATATAATTAATAAATTGATCTTAATAATAAGAAATGAGCAT